AAATATATTTCCTTAAATGGCATAAGAGTTTAGAGACCAATATCATTTGAAGTTACAATAGCTAACTGTTGCAGATAAATTACAATTTTAACGACAGTTATATAAACAATAAAGCTAACGTTAATCCGCGCTGTTCTCATACTAATATTGCTCGGTCCATGTAGATTAGCAGCCATGATGAGACTTGTTATTGTGCGCGCCAATAGCTCTTTTTGCAATAGTGCAAAAAGTTTTTATTGTTCTTTTTTGAAAATCGAATCACTAAAATTGCTACGTTAGAATTGTGACATATAATCCTCTTTGAATTGCGTTTCGTATTTTATATCTGTGGTAATTATGTTTTGATTTTGAAATCATATGTATAGTGAAAGTGAGGACACTTGACCCTAGAAGTTCTTAAGCTGTATGTTAAAAGTGCTGAGTTAATTAAAATAGTACAGTTTATTCCTTCCTCAGAAAGAATGTCGCTTTCGAAGTGAATTTGTATTCGGGTTCAGATATTTACGGTATCACTCTGCTGGTGTGACTTACCTTGGCTAGACGTTGTCCCCACTCTTTCTCTAAAATTAAAAAAAAAATGTGATAATCTGAAAATAATAAAAGAAATTGTAAATATTGCTAATAATAAATATTGGAGCTGGGAACACTTATCTTTGGACTTTTCAATTATGTAGTTCAACAACTTTCTTTATTTATGTCTGCCGTTTTATGTCGCTGCCGTGGGTTTGTGTGTAAATTCTCTTTGGTGCGGGCGAACTGTAGGCGAAGTAAACTTTAAATGAGGTTGTATATTAACAAAAACCGCCCATCTTGATTCCATGACGTCATTTAAAAAGAAGATTGTTATTTTTCACGACGCTCTGTTGATGTTTATGATGAAAACGTAGACATCGCTTTGATAAATCCAAATTTAAAACATGTACGCTCATTTTGCGTGATCCTAAAAACATAATTTTTATTTTGTATTTATAATAATCGAATTGTGACGGTGTTAAGTCTCGGTGATTGTCATAGCTCGGTAAGTACTCTCGATTCTATATCCCAGTCTCATCGCGTGCACTCTAGTAACAATCAACTGTTTTCTTTCGCTTTTCTTATTTACTCTTTGTCCGCCATATGATGAAGCACTTGCTTGCGGTCGGCTATTTACACACTCGCCTTTTTCAAAGCAAAATTAATTTTAAGATTTATTTGATTGGAACTTAGCAGTCTATTGAGCGGTGGACTGTTCATTCCTCATACCCATATTACGATGTATGATAGGTAACAACAACTTAACTATCCAATTTTGCTTAGTGCTCTTCAGCATAATTTTAAAATTATATTATCTTACTAATACTATAAATGCGAAAGTTTTTATAGATGTATGGATGAATGTTTTTAATTGTCTCAGGTAAAAACTACTGAACTTATTTTTTTGTATGAAATTTGGTATACAGATAAGTCTAAACTAAAAGTAACATATACATTAGTGACTTTTTGTCCCACTAAATGGTTTTAAATAAGTTATTTAGTAAATTTGTACTTATATCCATTGCTTTTTATGTATACATCTGGAGCTACTCAGAATTCAACGTCATGTTTCAAGTCACGTGATACACAGATAAAACTCGTTTTAATTTAATAAGATGCGCTGAGTCATAAACTGAAAATGAGAATGTCCATGCTGATTTCAATGTAATCTTTTTTTTCGGAAGTGCGTGACATCTTTTTTATTACTGGAACCTTATTTTGAGTATCGCATTGTTTGTCTACTAGAAGAGGAAGTGCAGCATATTTGGGAAACTGCAAGCAATTTGGAATAAACAGATATCTAAATTAATATAAACGTAATCTGTGTTTCATTGCCGAAATCAAAATGACAGTGATAGCGAGGTCTACAAGCCTAACGAAAACGAAAAGCGTGGTTTTTTAAACTTTTTCGGTAAACTGCAATAAGTTTTTATTGTAATTATTAAACTGTAAAATGATCTTATTAAGTTTGATGTATATTCGATTATATTGAGTTGCAGAAATTAAAATGTAACACGGAAATTTAGCTTAGGATAACTATACTATATTCTATAAATTACCTGCATCATAATTCAAAATTATGTTTTTTGTATTGATTTATTTCTTAACGTTTTTGTTTTTTGTTTTAATCGAAAGTACATTATAAAGTTTGATAATTCTCCTATAATAAGATGCATTTATATTGCGCTAATCCGTTTCTCTTCCAAATTATTCCCAAAAAAGAAATCAATATTCCAAATGTGCTTTATGTCCTCTATATATTGAAGACTTTACTTATATTCGCAAATTGAAAGCCTCAACTATTACAAAATCGATTGTAATCATAAATTTTGTACGTAACCGAATCACTAAGGTGGATCAACCGCACTAAAGTTACCCAACATTATAGGCGAAGTTAGGGCAGCGTTAATTTCCATCTGGATTAGTTGGAGGCGACCCCTAACCACATACACAACGTAAAGGGGTCAAAGTTACTTGCCTACGTGTTTTCAGGATTCCAAGGGATTTTTTTATGCGGTCGGTGAGCAGCGAATTATTGTCACTATGAAGAAATGTTGCATTGTTTTTCATTAATCTCGAAAAGGTAGAGTCAGTTCTTATTGAAAATATACTTTATTAGAATAAGGATGTTATACATTGCGATTTTATCACTACTTTTTAAATATCCGCCTAACTCTCCAGTCACTAACCATAGGACATGGCATCTAAGTGATGTTATACTCGTAGAGATGTTACATTTCGTTTTACTCCTTCGGCATGTCTTTGGTAGATTAACAACTAAGTTGGTAATATTACTGTCAAATCCATAATCATCTTAATTTATCATTCGTTGATTATATTTGATCAATTTCCCATTCACAATGTTATATTGAAATATAATTATTAATGAAAAATGTTTCAAAAATCCACTTTGTCCCTGGCACTCTGAAATGGGACTGGACGATCACATGGCCTTCCGCAATCCGGGCGACTGTCCTGACCACTGAGCTAACCAGGCTTTTTTTTAGCATTTTTCATTAATAATATTTATTATTCGTTTTTTTTATAAAAGAAAATTGTCAATGAAACATAAATATCACCAGAAAATTGCTGAGATATCGTATCCTACGATTAGAGAGTTAGGCGGGACACAGTGCGTGTTGGTGGAAGTTAACTAGCGCTGATACAGCTCTGGCCAAATTTAATGTCCGTGGTTTGGAAGGAGCTCAATATAATGAATTTTCGGTCACCCATCTTAAGAGCGGTCCTCTAGAAAGTAGCTGAACCTCTTTATTGCAGATCCTAACACTCTATACACAACTGCGTCATCAAAGTCCTTTAATCTGTTTTGGACATAGAAAATAAAATATTACATTTTTATTTTGACTTTTTCTTTTCATAATAATTGTGATTTAGTTTAATAAGATTTAGTATTAGGTTTGTGGTAACATTTATTATAAATTCACTCCACGTAGGTTTTTATCTAGTTCAATTCGAACAAAATCGGAACGTATACTGATAAAGTATGTATCCCAACGCAAGAATATGCTGTAACTGATTCTAAATAGGTATTCAGGGTTACGGCGTTTTTGTGACTCGTAAAAGCAACAGGTGAGGTACTGCTTTCATAAATCTTTATTAGCTGAAATACTACCAGTACTAAAACTGAAATCTTGAATTGCAGACGCCCGAAGCCTAATTTTTTTATCATGATGCCAGGTTTTTGATAAGATAGCTTTTTGTTTCTTAGCTCAAGACATTAAGTCAATGGCGGGCGTGTTGATTAATAGCTACAAGAATTAATAACATAATTTATTTTTAATATATGTGTTACCGTAAAGCTCTACGTATCGTCAGTTTATAACTTTACTAGATTATTTATAATCGCACTTGTAGCTCCTCTGGTGTTGCAGGTGTCCATGGGCGGCGGTAATCACTCACCATCAGGTGATCCGCCTGCTCGACTGCCCCCTATTACATAAAAAAAAAACTTAACATAAACCCATGAAAGTTTATAATAAAAGTATTAAGTTCATACTTAGTATATATTTTTGCTATATATTAGATCAGTTTTGTATTCGCGATGCTATATTTATATTTAGCTTAAAGAAAAAAAATAAAATAACAAACCCTGGCGTCCAAGATGAGATTCGAATCCTCTCAGATTTTGTTGAAAGTTATCTTTTCGCAATCCGGAGTAACCCGAGATCGAACCAGACTGACAAATTTCTAAAGCACTTGTGACACCTTCTTTACTAGGGAACCTAAAGTCCAAAGAAATTAAGATAAAAATGTGTTCTAATAATTATAATTGATTAATTTCGCTTTCACAATACTACTCGTATATTGATTTTTATCTTAAAGAAAATGTTAAAAAAAATTACCAGCCCCATTAGTTCGAATCCTATATCTCTTTCGTTATTTGATTCTTAGAATGAACGACCACAAGCTTTACTTCTATAAAATGTTGATCAATATCTATAAAAGTTAAGAATCAATGAATATATGATAACATTTTAAGTAAAGGTAAATTCATGCGTGAACAACATTTCTCTCAGACTTTATTTATAGCAAAAAACTACCTACTTTTTTTCAAATGAAACGGACCCGAATAAATTCGCGAGATAAATGAACCATCTTTGTTATCGAGCCCATCGCGATCAGGTGTAAACGCGGCGACCCTTTCGCCTTGACAATAAGGTTGATATTTATAGTGTAGTGACACATTTCGAGAGTCGTACAGTACATTTGTCATTCGGGCATTCTAATCCAGTGACTACGAACATTATATCCGTCACATTTTAACCTCCATATATCAGGTTCATAAGAGCTGAGTAAGCCTCTAAAATGGGTGTTTATTGCTTGGTCCTTCGAGCCGGATCTGGTTATTTTGGAAATATTGACGCAAATACGAGCTTTGTTGCATCGTTATAAGGATCGGTATTGTCGTGAGGTTCAGGTGCTCGGATAATGGCGTCGGGGTTATCCAGTCGTTTCTCTTGTACCAGATGTGTTGTCCGCCAGGCGGTGAACTATGTGGATTTAAGCAATTCTTAGTGGAGTCCAACCGTAATTAATATAGTTGCCTCGATACAGTGCGAAATGTGCACATATTGTGGGTGCCAGGGTGATTGTTTCTTGGGGTGACTCAGGTCGCTACAGCTTATTGCCTTCGAATAAATAAGGTTTAATGTTTTGAGCGTATTTGGCGTAGATGGGTATTGTGACTGTTGATAAATGTGCCTGTTGAAATGGTTTATAGAAACCATAGACGTGTTAACTCTTAAGATACGTGCGTGATTGAAGTTGGGTTGATTGTACTTCTCCAAATTGTTGGTGAATGACAAACTCGTTTTATGAGTACGGATGAGTATGTGAAATGGACACTCAGCTCTCACATCAATTTATTTTTGGTTTGTATGATTGTAATGCAAAAATGTGTGCTAAAAACATATACAAAACAACAAGTGACAGATATAAATGTAATGGTGGTGGTCATATACCTACCTCCGTAGCAAAGGGGTTTGTACACCGATTTCAAAGTGTCGCCATCTCTGAGGCCCCGGGTTCGATTCCCGGTTGGGTTAATGTAGAAAATGAACTTTTATACATCGTCGTAGGTCTGGATGTTGTGGGAGGGCTTTAGCTACTCATCTTGGAATCTATACAACGTATAGGATATTGTCTAGTAATTTGTTATGGATTTATATCTGACGGAAGATCCGTTGCGTATCATCGGTAGCGTAACGTCACATCTGACAAATGTATGTATACATTCAACCTTGAACACCCACTCGATATTCATCAATCTGTCGAAAGTATTGTACAACGCATCCGTTGATATGCTTGAAGTATCTTCTGTTTGAAGTGTAGTTAAAAAAGTTTCTGAAAATTCTAACAGTTTTCAGTTATTTTTTTTTGTCTTGTTTTGTATATTATTAGTTTTTTCGTGCGGGGTTATTAATTGGGATTTGATCAGTGTATCTGATGTTATTTTATATTTATTTATAGTGTCGGAGCAAGGTCCGCACGAGAAGCGGCTGTTGAACACACTCCTAGCGTCCTACAACACGCTGGAGCGACCGGTGGCGAACGAGAGCGAGCCTCTGGAGGTCAAGTTTGGGTTGACGCTGCAACAGATCATTGACGTGGTGAGTTGTGACAAACAGTCAACATCCAGTGACAATTTGTGACGAGCCGTCGACGTTTGTGACTAAAGTTTGATTTTATATTGCCAATGTGCCTTTTTATATTGATAATGGTCTCTCGATTTATAACTATGATACACAAACGTGGACTGGCTCTTTATGTCAAAATTATGTGTTTTAAATAAATTTGTGTGCCAAAGATAGTGCTAAATGAGTTAAAATTAATAATAATTCAATAAAATATTTACTGATATAATTATAATTAAATGAATGTAGAAAAGTTACTGTCTTTTGCATACTATATTGGCACTATATAATTATTTGTGATTTAAAAAAAAAACTTCATGAGAACAACTTGATTTTTGTTCTACACACCAATTATAAAATGTTGATTTGATGTTACAAAAGTATTTTGGAGTTGTTTATAGTTTTGGAAAGTTTATAAACAACTTTTGTCTTTTCATATCTGGTTCATACACATATAATAATTCGTTTAATGATGATTTAATGTAGATTTTTAAGAGAGCTTATTCATAAGTTTTTTTATAAAGGTCGTGGTCTGGAACAATAAGTTTATATATTTAAACATCTGTAATTAGCAATCGTAAATGTGCCATAAAAACTCATTTAAGGATATAATCTAATTTAAATATAACCTTTTTAGAATGAGTTTCAGTATGCATGTGTATTATTACATATTTATTGAGTTACCCATGAGTTACAGTACCTTCATATGATTTGTGATGAAACTTATAAAATTGTAATAAAATCCATGAAAAAACACCCTTACATCCTTTCGAAAGTTGTTTTATGGAAAGAGTTAGTGTGTGCGAATATACTCGTATGTGGAATATGAAAAATATACGATGAACGGCGTAAATAAACGGTCGTGAAAATAGATTGTATCGTCGCTTCACGGTGTTTTACACAGTCGCTTGTTTATTGGTGACAAAGAGTTGCTTTATTCCCTACGTAAAATCATTGACAAAATCTAACTTACATTTGCATTGCTGTAAATTTATATTAATTAATCGGAACAACAATTCCGGAGTATTATTATGAGTGGTTTTTGGTTTAGGTGAAACGTCACGATTATATTATTTTTGAGCGTCACTAGATGGCGTGAGTGTCATAATTGATAATGGCTTTTATACGTTAACCGTGTTTTTAAAAGGTGTAATATTATTTGTTTTTTTTAAGAATACCTATATGTTAATTATGATAAATGTTGAATAATTTTTGGTAGAGATAAATATTACACTGTAAACACGGACTATTTAATGAAAAAAGAAAAATTAAAACAATAAATAAGAGCAACGCCATCTATTGGTGTTCAAACTTAACCGTGTTGTTGCACTTCAAAGTATTTTTGTCAATGAAAGATGTCACTCAACATTTTCTAAATGGTGTTTGTTCTGGTGGATATCGGAAAATGTGTTTTTTTAGTCCGAGCCGTAAGTGTTATAGTTGTTAATACTCTCTAAGTGGTCAAGGGAAACGCAACGTAATGTATTATTTACTTAAACCTAACACTATGATGTCGAAACGTGAGCGAACAGCAGTCTTTGTTTTGTAAAAATACGTCACAAGTGAATAGAAAAAGAAACGATAAACAGCGAACGAGCTTTTTATCTTTTAACCTCGACTTAACATAGATATACGAGTAAGATAGCTATTTACATATACTTTATAGTTAAACGAGAAGGGCAAAAATCCATGGGCTGTAAAATTATAATCTTCTGTTCTTTTAACTTTTTGAACATACCTATTTCATCAGAGAATATTTTAATGGAAATAAAATTTTGATATTTTATAACGTTTTTGTAAAAAAAAATACATCAAATTCTATCGGCAAAATAAAATATGAACGGTTATAGTGAGAACAACAAATATATAAAAATCAATTAATGTCCGTTCGTCTCGCTAAAACTAGAGAACGGCTTGACTGATTTAGCTGATTGTGGTTGTGAAATGTGTGTCGTAGTCCAGGTAAGTTTAAAGGTGAGAAGTGATACGAAATACACCGGGTAATTTAGTAAAATACAATTATTGTTTTATTTTGTACACACTTAGATTGTCGCACGGAAAGACGTCTTCTGGCTGTTATCGTATATCACTTACTATAAAAAGAGAGAGACATCGGATGGTGGTAGCATAACTCTGCATTTTAACTAGCTCCGCTTCTTAGAGATAGACAATTGAAAATCTATCGCAATTCATTTCGATTTGTCATTTGAATGATATAAATCCAACATCACGCGTTCAGCTACGCAGGTCGTTAGATAGATATAATTGACCTGTTATTGGTTATTGCGATATCCAATAGTAGTTTTAAATTTATTCGTGGATATTGAAAATACACCGGCATTCCGGCAAATAGAGACACGAACGTTCCGGCGGCCGGTTGCAATCGGTACGGGAATTAAACCGCATCACGCTGGAACGCGTTCCGCACGTACGGCTGCGTTGAAATGTTCCGAAAGCAAAATGTAACAGAATCCTAATATTGAAATCCGTTGGAAAGGGAATATCGGGCTTTTGTTTCGTAAAATTTGTTTGAATTCGTTGTGTTGAGATCTAGTTTTGTTATACCTCTGCTGGTGTGTAAATACTGGAGTACAAAATTATTAGTTAGTTCAAGGTGTGCTTATCTCTAAAGTACGAGGTTCAATTCCCGGTCGGATAAATATAGAACATGAAGTTTTCTGAAATGCTGTGTTGTAGTGCCCTCAATGTTTCGAATTCCCATAATACAAGTGTTAAAAACTACTTAATTTGGGGTTTGAGTGATATTGGGAAAAAGGCTTTTCGCATATTTTTGCATAAATTTTTGCATATTTTTGCATAAATTTGTAATAAAATAATTCTGGCTATACCATTTGTATCAAACTAGTTTCGGTATCATTAAAAAGTTGAAATATTAAACAATACAACTCCGAATTCAAATTAGGAAACTGTGTGATTTTCAGAGGGCATATCGTTTATCATCATGATAACACTAGACCTCACATCTTTTGCCATTCAGCAAAAATTTTTGTTTGGCTGGGAGATGTTAATGCATCTGCGCAAATAGTCCTGACCTTCAGATTTATACCTGTTATGGTCTCTTCAGAATTCTATAGGCAGTGTCAGGTTAACATCACGCGAGGACTGACAAAACCACTTTTCGCGGTTTTTTTATGAGAAACCCCAAAATTTCTATACCAACGTTATGTGCCTACCATAATATGGCAAAAAAGTTATCGAACAAAATGATACTTACATACTTTAGTTAAATGTAAATAAACATTATTAAAAAAAAAATTTTTTTCATATATAGTGCGGAGAAACTATTTCCCCAATCTAATATGTCATCTTATTAACTTTTTATGTAGAACATACTACGTAGAGTATATATTATTAAAATACTCTAAAGTGTTCTCAATGTATAAGGGATAAGCCTTTATTATGGCGGCTTATATTAAGGTTGAAATAATAAAGGGAGGACGAACCAACCCGAGTCCAGAACGGATTGGTGTGCGTTAAAAACAGCTGATGTAGCTAGGATCTAGCTCTATCTAGTTAAATTATATTTTTTTAAATAATCGATCACATGGAATTCTTTACGCAATAAGAAAAAAGAAAAAAGACGGATTTAAGTTAAGTTTGAGTTAAAAGAGACATACATAATTTAAAACAATGGTGACAATCATTTATAGAACCCAAAAAGCATAATAAAATAAAGGACATATGAAACAAGGATGGCTGCTCTCCAACCAGTTGCCAACAAATTGGATTTAATTTAAAAACAAAGTCGCATAAAGAAAACCAATCAATATAAAAGTAACGATATTTGGTGTTATTCTTAAACGGTACAACGTTTATACGAGATTGAATATCCAATTTTTCATTTTATAAAAAGGGATCGAAGCGTTGGCCTATTTGTAGTAAACGTTCGGTCCAATTGAGATATCACGGCCAACGTTATTGCAACTTAAACCACGTCACGAACCATCTGGATAGGTTTACGTTGCTTACGTGCATACGAATTATTGTTACAAAGAAATAAATAATGAATATACATAACAAATGTTATGCGGAAGAGATCGGATGCCAATAAGTATTGATTGGTTGTTATATATGTTAAGTTTTGCATTAAATAAGCTTACACCACCACCACACCACCAGCCCTTTTACGTCCCCACTGCAGGGGCTCAGGCCTTCCTTATGGATGGTTAAGGAGGATAAGCTTAATTAATGTTTATTATGTACAATAGTATACTCAGCAGACAGAATATAGAGCTAGGATTTCAGTAAAAATTCTAAGTGATTTTTATGTGACCAATAATATGTTGTAATTATTTGAGTACATTTGGTTTTTATTTTTTAGGTCATTTCAATCATTTTGGGTTAGTAACTGTATTTTTTTTACTCATGACAAAACAGAATAGTGTAAAATTGGTAATCTATCGGGCTAATAAAATACTCCAATCATCAAGAGATAAAATTTCATACGTAAACGGACTATTCTTTAGAAGTTGAAAAGGATATCTAGATTGAAAAATATTGTCGGCGGTTATTTGAATTCTGAATGATATTTAATTGTTTGTTCGTATTGAATAGTCTCCGAAACCTACGGGAAACTACATCATACGAGGGTGTTATAGAGTATAATTTACACGACTGAAGTCGTGCAAAAGCAGCTAGTTAGTAATAAAGTAAGTTTTTAATACAGCTTATACTCGTAGCTATTATAAAATGGCAAAAATAAAAAAAAAAGTACCTACCAGGACTTGTTCGAATTTCGAAACTATAAATCGAAGTTTAGAACGCGAAGAAATTCAGTCACTGGAACATAGAACATCGCGTCTGGGAACAAAAGTTTTCAAAAATGGAACAAAATGGGAGGCGAAGCGCGACCGTAAGGAACGGCCCGAGGCGTGGAGTGCATTCCGTGTACCCGAGGGATTTCTTGTGGGGATTTTATGCTGTACTTACTTACATGAGAGCGCTACAATTCCATA